GGAATTCCAGTCGAAATCTCGAGCTGAAGTGTAGACCTTCCAGAAATAGTGGTGAACTTGACCTTGGGCTTCATGACCTTGCGCAAGTAGTCTTTAACAAGCTCGTTAATTTAAATTAGGTAAACTGCCTCATCTAATGGCTCGATGTTGTCCATTGCTACTGTCAGTAAAAGTACTGCTACTGTCAGAAAAAGTACTGCTACTGTCAGTAAAAGTACTGCTACTGTCAGTAGAAGTACTGCTACTGTCAGTAAAAGTACTGCTACTGTCAGTAGAAGTACTGCTACTGTCAGTAAAAGTACTGCTACCGTCAGTAAAAGTACTGCTACTGTCAGTAAAAGTACTGCTACCGTCAGTAAAAAGGAAAATTTGAGAGGGTTTTCGACGATAAAGTACTTCTACTGTCAGTAAAAGTACTGCTACTGTCAGTAAAAGTACTTCTACTGTCAGAAAAAGTACTGCTACTGTCAGTAAAAGTACTTCTACTGTCAGTAGAAGTACTGCTAGTAGCAGAGATTTTTATCGTTGTGGTCCGACGTCCCACCAACCGAGTCCAATCTCAATCCAGAAGAACCGAAAGCACCAGCCCCTGCACCTCAGTTCCAGCAAGTACCTCCGAATTACTACCAATTTCCACCTCAAGGTTACTACCCACCACAAGGCTTCCCGAACTACCCTCCTCAGCTTATGCCTTACTTCCCCAACCCTTGGATGTTCCAGCAAGCTCCACCCCAGCAATTCCAATTCCAATACAAATCGAAGAGAGACCAAAACTTCGAAGAAGGTCTGAACCGCTTACGCAAAGAGTATGCCACAGCTCCAATTGAGAGAAAGTTGTTGCTAAATTCAGTAAAAATAATGTTTAGGGTAGAAGGTTAGATCTAACCTGTTTTCTAACCTCATTTCTAACCTCATGAATTTTCATGAATTTCATCGTAAATGTTTTGTGAAGAATATAGCAACAGTCTGAATTCCGGCGGTTGCTTTTTATACAAAATTCATGCGGGAAATTCTTGAGTTTTGGTTGAAAGAATACGGTGGAGCCAAATGTGGCTCGACCTCAAAACAAGCATTTTATGAGCTTACAAAGGGTGTTATGAATGAATTCAGCAACATACATCCTGACCTCGTTCATTTTGTTGCTAAATTCAGTAAAAATAATGTTTAGGGTAGAAGGTTAGATCTCACCCGTTTTCTAACCTCATTTCTAACCTCTTGAATTTTCATGAATTTTATATATTAATGTTTTCGTTATGCCACTTTGTGCCGTCAGTCAGTCAGTCAGTTTAGGAAATTTACACCAAAAAATATATTTTAGGTGAAGAGGTTAGATCTAACCTGTTTTCTCACCTCTTTTCTCACCTCTTGAATTTTCATGAATTTCCTTAAGATAGAAAAAATAAAATTAGTTTTATTTTGTATTTTTTTGTATAAAAGATATGATTTCAGGGATTTTTTTGACGAAGTGTTAATGTTCACTTCGTCAAAAAATAACAGTTATCTAATGAAAAAGTGTCATTTTTTTGTATTTTTTTGTATAAAAGATATGATTTCAGGGATTTTTTTGACGAAGTGTTAATGTTCACTTCGTCAAAAAATAACAGTTATCTAATGAAAAAGTGTCATTTTTTTGTATTTTTTTGTATTTGACGAGAATGTTTAGGGTAGAAGGTTAGATCTCACCTGTTTTCTAACCTGTTTTTTCACCCTCTTGAATTTTCATGATTTCATCGTACATGTTTTGTCAAAACTTCTTCGTATATGTTTTGTCAAGACTTCTTCGTATATGTTTTGTCAAACATGAACGTATATGTTTTGTCAAAACTTCTTCGTACATGTTTTGTCAAGACTTCTTCGTAAATGATTTGTCAAGACTTCTTCGTAAATGATTTGTCAAACATGAACGTATATGTTTTGTCAAGACTTCTTCGTATATGTTTTGTCAAGACTTCTTCATCGTAATGAGCGTAAATCAGACAAAAATAATGTTTAGGGTAGAAGGTTAGATCTAACCTGTTTTCTAACCTCATTTCTAACCTCTTGAATTTTCATGAATTTTATATATTAATGTTTTCGTTATGCCACTTTGTGCCGTCAGTCAGTCAGTCAGTTTAGGAAATTTACACCAAAAAATATATTTTAGGTGAAGAGGTTAGATCTAACCTGTTTTCTACCCTCATTTCTACCCTCTTGAATTTTCATGAATTTTCCCGAAATAAAAAATAAAGTTAGTTTTATTTTATTTATTTTTTTTATTTTGTATGTAAAGATATGATTTCAACAATCGGCACAACAACAATTCAAACAACAGCACCAAACTCGCTAGTCATGAATCCAACATCTATGTTGGTAGAGATGAAAAGCTTTATTCCTTCTTCATATACTTTTGAAACAAAAATCCAGAAGATAAAGCAAGAACTTTTAACAAGTAATTTAGACTGTAGTGTGAAAGATGAAGAAAATGAAGAATATCTTTATGAAATGCAGGACATTATTGACCATTTGCCTAAACTACCTGAAATCCAACAACAAAAACTCACTATTCCCGAATTTGACGAAATTGAAGTCAAACCAACTGACTCAGTAGAAATAAAGAAGTTCATACGAAAGGTAAATTATGAATTCCTTGGTTTTCATTGCAACCATAAAGTTATGGACAAAGATTGCGACATGGTATATAAGAATGTTTCTGACATATATAAATCTGAAGAATTTAAGACCTACGACAACTTTGTTTCGTTAGTTGCAGAATGTGTATGGCAGATAAGAGATGAAGATAGAAGAGGTAAAGTATGGAATGAACAGATAAAACCAGCAGCTTTTGAGTTAAAGAAAACCATTGACGCCTTAGTTGTTTTAGCAGGTAAGGTTTCAGAATATAACGCAAAAATGAACCCGCAATGTTCTAAATGTAAAGCAGCAATGAGGAAATATAACTACTCCGTCAAAGAGATAGAACGTATGCGAAACGACTATGCAGACTTAAAGAAAGAAGCAGAGAAGCCGGTAGAAAATAAAATGGACATGTTAGAATTTCTGAACAAAAACTATCCAACTGCTGACGATTTCCTTCTATCTGACGTCAAGATGAAGTATAAAGAAACTTTCGGTATCGTTAAAACTTTTGACATACTAAAAGAAGAAATAGAAGCTACAAAACTGTTTAAAGTCTCACGAATTCATAACGTTTACCATGTAAAACGCTTGTGAAAAAAACAGGTGAGAAAACGGGTGAGAAAACAGGTTAGATCTAACCTTCTACCCTAAACATTATTTTTGTCTGATTTACGCTCATTACGAAGAAGTCTTGACAAAACATTTACGAAGAAGTCTTGACAAAACATTTACGAAGAAGTCTTGACAAAACATGTACGATGAAATCATGAAAATTCATGAGGTGAGAAAAGAGGTTAGAAAACAGGTTAGATCTAACCTTCTACCCTAAACATTATTTTTGTCTGATTTACGCTCATTACGAAGAAGTCTTGACAAAACATTTACGTTCATGTTTGACAAAACATTTACGAAGAAGTCTTGACAAAACATGTACGATGAAATCATGAAAATTCATGAGGTGAGAAAAGAGGTTAGAAAACAGGTTAGATCTAACCTTCTACCCTAAACATTATTTTTGTCTGATTTACGCTCATTACGAAGAAGTCTTGACAAAACATTTACGAAGAAGTCTTGACAAAACATTTACGAAGAAGTCTTGACAAAACATTTACGAAGAAGTCTTGACAAAACATTTACGAAGAAGTTTCGACAAAACATGAGGTTAGAAAACAGGTGAGAAAACAGGTTAGATCTAACCTTCTACCCGACATTCTCGTCAAATACAAAAAAATGAAGAATAAATAAAATAAAACTAACTTTATTTTTTCTATCTTAAGGAAATTCATGAAAATTCAAGAGGTGAGAAAACAGGTGAGAAAACAGGTGAGATCTCACCACTTCACCTAAACATTATTTTTGTCTGATTTACGCTCATTACGAAGAAGTCTTGACAAAACATGTACGAAGAAGTCTTGACAAAACATGTACGATGAAATCATGAAAATTCATGAGGTGAGAAAAGAGGTTAGAAAACAGGTTAGATCTAACCTTCTACCCTAAACATTATTTTTGCTGAATTCAGCAACAAAATTCTGAGTAAAATAATTTTTAGGGCATATGCTTGCTTCCCTCGGAAAACCGAGAGAAGAGATTCCGTATGAAATTCATGAATTTCCTTAAGATAGAAAAAATAAAGTTAGTTTTATTTTTATTTATTTTTTTTATTTTGTATGTAAAGACAGAAATGTCAAACAATGAGTTTGAAACAGTTAGAAAGATAGACAATGACACCAAATTGGTTAGAATAGGTGATTTAAACGTAAGATACTCAAAGAAATACAACAAATATTCTTTGTCAGACATTTTATCTCCATCTGGAAAGAGACCGAAGGACTGGGTTAGAATTGCTTCTACTCAGAAAATTTTGACAAGAAATCCTGAGCTTATAATATCGGTAAGATTCTATGGAACTACAGCATATCTCATTGACAAAAGTCTTATACCAATAGTTTTGTTATGGTTAGACCCAGTTGTTGGATATAACTTCATAACATATGGTTCATTCGATACGGAACGTTGCAGTGAAGGCTTACTTTACATCGTTCAGAAACCGAAGGACTTCAATACAAAAAGATATAAGATAGGAAGGACATATAATATAACTCTAAGATATGACAGTACAGTCAATAGAGTCAAGGTTGTGTTTGTTAATGATATGAGAGCTGCAGAAACAGAACTACTTGAAAAGTTTGAGAAAATGTATGGTGCTCCCACGAAAGGTAAAGAAACGTTTGAAGTAGATGAGATAGATAAAGCTATAAAATTATTTGACGAAGTTGCTGAAAAATACATGTAAAGCGTTTATTTTTGGTCTTTTGTGAAAGATAGAAAATAACGCTAATTTTATTTTTATTTATTTTTTTATTTTGTATGTAAAGACAGATATGTCAACAACAGAGAACACAACAACAGTTATAGTCCATGAAGCTATAAGTGAAGAATATGAGTGGGTTCAGTTTAACAAACAACTCCGTCTCATTCGTTCGGTCAAAGACGATATGTACCAAATGCAAAGTATTTTGACAGCATGTTTTGCTCCAGATACTAAGAAACCACAAGACTGGTTTAGGAACCAAAGCACACAAGAACTTTTGAGCGAAGTACAGCGAGACATACTTTTTTCTGAAAACAGTGAAGAACAGCGAGTAAGTAAAAAACCTCAGTCGCCAAAACTCTATGAAAACAGTGAAGAACAGCGAGTAAGTAAAAAACCTCAGTCGCCAAAACTCTATGAAAATCGTGAAAAATTGCCAAACGGTTTGAGAGGATATTATGTACATAGACTTCTTGTAAATGCTGTTGCAATGTGGGCTTCGCCTCGTTATGCTTGGTATATTTACAGACTTCTTGACGAAATTCATAGACAAGAACGTGAAGAGATGGAAAACAAGCTTGAAGCAAAAGACAAAAGCATTCAGAAAAGAATACCACGTTCGGTACCAAAAGGAAAGGAAAAGAACTATAAGTATATGATTTATACTGAAGAGATGGAAAATGAAGAAGATAAAGATATGGTTATGTTGCATTTAGTCAGAAGAAACAACAAAAGCTTTTACGACCTTGCTAAGATTTACAAATCTGACAGAAATTGGTTCTATCGCGAAAACTTACCGATTTCAATGACACCGAATGAAGATGTGAAACAAATAGTTCAAGATACGTTACCTCAAACACACTATGATATGAAAGGTTGTACAATACTTACCTTCAAAGAAGACTTACCGCTACTGAAAGAAAAAATAACAGAGTATTTTGACAACTTCAAACAAGTAGGGTAAATGCACTCTTTATTTTTACGCTTGACTTTTTACAATTTGAACTTTGTTTGCGTAGATATGAATTCTGAAAGAAGTATGAGGGTCTTGTATGACTTTATACTTCTCCCAGAGTTCATATCTGTCAAACTTACCTGCCATGGACTCTTTCATAAGTTCCATGAAATCGTCTTCGGACAATCCGGGGAAAAGTATAATGTCAGTAAGTATTCTTTTAACATCCTTACTTAAACTCTTTGCTGTCTGTACACAAATGACAACTGAGATGTTAAAGTGTCTGAGCTTCTTAAGAATTCGACACATATCTTGTTCTCTGTTCTTTAACAAAGGATGAGAAGCAAAGTCATCTAAAATAAGAAGACATCTATGAGGGTAAGTCTTCCAATCGTAAGATTGCAATTTCTTCGAAATGTATTCTATCTCTTTCTGTTTGTTTCTGAAGTGTTTCTTCTCTAATATTCTCTGCATTTCCTCATTTGGGTCTTTAAACTTCGAATTTATATACTCATTTATAGCATTATACTTCAAAACTCTTCTTTGGTACTTCTTTATCCAATCTAACAACTCAGTATCCTTTATACATACTAACTTAGACTTCTTTATAATATCTTTGAACGAATTGACGGTTTGGTCAAATTGACCAGAAGTACTACAAATAACAACTAACTCATAGAATGGGTTCTTCTCATCTAGTTCTTGTTGTTGTGCAGCCATTTTAAGATAAGTGAAAGTCTTACCCGACCCAGGTGGTGCAATTAGACCTGTTATACCATTCTGAGCAAATAAGAACTTGTCATGTATAGGCTTTATCTGAGCATTTTCTAACTTCCTCTTGTTCTTGTTTAAAACATTCTCAAATTTCTTGTCAATGTCAGCAAACTTTTTTTCTAACATATTTTTAGAAAAATTAAAATTTTTATCTTTAGAAAATGTCTAGCGATTTCGCTATCTATATTCGAGACAAACTTTTTGACAGCAAAACATCTGTCGACCATAAAATCTTACATAGTGTAAACAAGAAAGGTGAATTTGTTCTAAAGTTCTGTTTCTGGGAATATGACAAGAACCATAAAACATTAAGCAGAGCAGTCTTAAAATTTGTCAATGACAGACTTGTTGACAGAGATGACACCGATTGGAAAGATGAAGTCCAACAAAAGTTCTTAGAATGCAAAGAAGACACATGCGCTGTTCTTGAAGATGAAATAGAAAACAGAATAGATGAGCTATTAAAGGACAAAGAACTTTTACATAAATATAGTTGCGCCAAATTTGACATAACTCCACCAGAAAAGAAGAAGAAAGAAAAGAAAGAAAAGAAAGTAGAAGAAGAGAAGAAAGAACCAGAGCCAGTTCCAGAGAAAAAGAAATTTGACATGTAAAAATAAAATTTTATTTTTAGAACATTTCTGGGTCAATGTCAATGTTCTCTTCCTCTTTAGGAGTAAACACTGGCTTAGACTCTAAAATCTTTTTACCCAATTTACCTTGAACTTCTACAACTTTAGACTCATAATATTCATAGTCGTCTGCTTTCTTTGGTTCATAAGGTATAACAAGTTTGTATGCTTTGCCTTCTTTAAGGTTTGAGAACCTTCTGTCAAAACTTTCTTTGACTGTTAACAAACCTTCTATGTCTAAGTCTTCAAAAGTTGCACCATTTTTAGTCACAATAGCAAACTTAACTGGTTCGATGTTCCAAACTTTGCTGAATGAAGACTTTTCAAAATGGTAGAAGTAAACATTCAAATATGTGAATGGGTCTAGTTCTTCTTTAAGTCCTGACATGTACTTGTTTACTGAGATGAATTTTGCCATCTTTTTCTATCGGATAAAAAAATATTTTTTTAAAAAAATTTACTCAGAAAAATTTTTCTTTGTATATACACCATTCTGAACATCTAAAAGACTTTTGACATTTGCCAAGAATGTTCGTTTAGAAGCTGTCATATAACCATATTCTTGACAATATTGTTTATACGAATCGTACAATGACCTTTCATCTAATGACACAAAGTCAGTTTCATCTATGAACAGTTCATATACACTCTTGTTTGCTTTAACAATGTTTGTCTCTCTTCGGTATGTGAATTTGTCTTGGATTGAACTTAGAAATATCTAATGTCATGAAATATGAGAACAAGTGGTTGTAAAAAGTCAGATGTCAAAGTTTCTGCTAAGTCGTCAAAATATTCTGTATCTTGCATATGAGCTCTGACGTTCTGACAACTACATATCTTCTGTCAGAACTTTCTAACTTCATCGGAACAGCATTGTTTGAAACCATAATGAAGTTTGCAAACATTTTCACAAACTCTTTGGTCTTTATACTTTCTTTCAACAACTCCAACTTTGTCTGTTATAAGACTCTTCAAAGCATCTGAGTTCAAACTTTTGTTGTATCTATACTTTGAAGTTCATTGCAAACTATAAGTTTCATATTCTCTATTGAGGAGTTAAACTTGCCACAGATGTTTTCTAAGTTTGTCATATTAGGGTTCGAATAACCTTCTAATAGTTGCATAAGATATCTGTAAAGAAAGTATTCTTACCTGTTCCTTGTTTTCCAATTATAATGAGAGCAGTTTCATTTTTAGCACTTGGATGTTGTAAGATATTTGCAAACCAACATAAGATATACTCATAAACCTTTTCGTTTCCATTGCATATAATTTCTTTGACATGTCTAACCAAGCTTCTATAATATTTCTTTCCATTCTACTTGTTCGTATTTATATCCAGTGAAGATAGAATAGAAGTTTGGAGAAGGTGTATAGAACTTTATACCTCGAACTGAAAATCTTCAAGTTTTGACAATAAGATATCCAAGCATCTAACATCTTCATGCCAACTTGTACGACTTTTATTTTCTTAAGTTTCTGTCTACATTCTTGTTCAGACACTATTGTTGCTCTTGGTTTGTTAAAGACAACATCCCATTCTTTCATGACATAACATTCGGGCAGAGTCAACATAAATGACTAAACGTTTCAAATTCTCGACTGCTTTGTTATAGTCTCTAAATGGACACATATTTCTGAATGCTTGGAAGTCATAAAAATCTGAACATCTATTCTGTACATTTTTATAAAATAAAAAAAATATTATTTTTTTATTCTTGACTTTGTTGTTGCATTTTTGTTCTTGAGCTATTTGTTGTTGAAGTTGTTCTTGTAAACAATACTTTCACCAGTTGCATCTTCCAATTCGAAACTTTCTGCCGTCATTGACAAATACATAGGACATAAAAGTTTTACAGAACAAAGTTTGCGTCAACTAATGTCAACGTTATACTTGCCAAAGTGTTTGAGTTCACTAAGGTTGAAAATTCTGCATTCGAATGAACAATAGGCAAACCAGCAGAGAAAGTATTGTTTATACGCATAAGTATCTTTTGGTCATAATAGTTTCTGTCGACATTCGAATAACACTTTGAACCTAAGTTTGAAACAATATATAAGATTGGTGTGCTTAATGTCAATGGAATAGACATTCCTTGTATGACCCTTTTCCTGTTATAGGAAACTGTTGGTAGTAAAAACCAGATATAAGTTTTGTATTATAGCTCATATCGTTTATAGTAACTCAGTCGGACATCCAAACATAATGAAACCTGCTCTAGTTGCAGCACATGTTACACCCGTCCTAAAGTATTAAAAAGTCAACAAAACCTGTTGGTGATATCTGAGTAAGTATCCTTCAAAGGAGTATTTTTTACCATTCACAACAATAAAGTCTTCTGGTGTCAAAAGAGCAAAACAGGCTTTAGTCGTCATTGTGTTTAAGGTTAGTTTACAATATCGTCCTTGAGGACTTTGTAAGTTTGTTTTATAGAATTATATGACTCAGGGTTTTTAGTCGTAATAGTATAAACCATTATGTCTTCTGCCATTTACTTAGCAAATAAATTTTAATGAAATGTTGTGGTCGTCAAATATTTTTATAACGTCTGGGAAACTATATTTTAAGTTCAACGTTTCACCTCCTTTCATAACGTATATCTTGTCAATGACATTATATGAAACACCACAGCAACTAATGTCGGGTTCTATTTCTTTGATGTTTATATCGTCTGCCTCTTCAAAAGTTTCAATAGTTCTTTCAAAACTTCATGAGGTGCAATGAATATGAGTTCACTTTTACAGGGTTGTGTTCGACCAAGTTTAACATTATACTTAAAGCTTGACAAATCTTCTCCTGAGTTGAAGTTTGTCTTTCAGTTGTTGGTAGTCGTTTCGAATATCTGCAACAGAACTTAAGTCTCTGCTAACTTCAGGATATGTTGGTTCTTTTACAGAACAATTGTATACCATCTTCGTCTTCGTATGGTTTCCCCACTTCAAATCTCTGTCTTTGACATTGACAATAACACTTTGACTGTTTGTTTGAGTTGGTGAATTTAACTTCACATCTGCCACCGCCATTAAACCTTTTGAAACACTTACGCTTCTATTTTCGAAATGACATTTTTACTTAGAATAAAAAGATGGACGTATTCGGATATCTCTTCGAATTGAAGCAAAACAAGGTTATACTCGCAAACAATACAAATACATTGACAGAATAGTTCTTTACACAAACAATGGTAAATGTTATAGAATAGCAATATTTGCTGAACCAAAATATTTTCATAAAGCAAAGAAAGTTGTATAACCGAGATGGTGAAGAAGTTGACGTTGACAAAAATATAATTCAAAACTGACCGATATTACTAAAGGAAAGTTTATAATACAATATTATGTCAAAACTGGCGTACTGTCAATATTTGACGGAGAGAAGTCAGTTCAAGAACAACTTACTGACCTGCTGCCAAAATCTGCTCGATGGAAGCTGTCGTTATGCCAATCTGAGGAGCCCAGCAGGTTTCATCGAACGAATCTTCAAAGAGCATCTTCCGTGAAAAGTGCTATTGGTTTTGTAAACTTCTTTGCTTTCAATTCATCTGGACCGTCTCTGTCACCAGTATATTTATTTGAACTGTACCAACAGTTGAAATACCACCC